AATGAAACATAAAAATTACATTTTTATAGTAAAATTACCAACAATACATTTTATGATCTACAAAATAGATATCTAGAAAAACATACTTTTACTCTGAAGGTATAAAATTACGTAACAAATATTTAGATTTCGTCATTAAATAACCCATAGAGGTGTTGATATGCCGTCAAACAATATCAACTAAACAACCAACATGAAAGAAATTTCATAACATTAATCAATATAATATCCTACAATTTCTTAAATCAAAGCGTATTCCAAAATATAATTTCAAGGAAACTACAAAATACAGCACAAAATATTCCCGCCTCTAGTAATCATATGACAAAAAGTCATGAAGTTGTGGCGAGTAATGCTCTCTCTCTAAAGATATGGTACATTCGGCTATTTAACCGATAGCTGAGTTTCCCTTATTTAAGACTGCTTACCACCCAAGGCTTAAGAGCCCGGTGTACCCTGCTATTTAACCGATAGGGAGTTTTCCTTCGCTTAAATTGGCTGCCACCGATGGCTATAGAGCCCAGTGTACCTGGCTATTTAACAGATAACTGAGTTTTCCTTCTCTTAAATGGGCTACCACACAGGACTAAAGAGTCCAGATCTCTCCTGCAATTTAACTGATAGATTAGTTTTTCTCCTCTTCAACTGGTTACCACACAAAGTTAAAGAGCGTGAGGTACCCTGCTATTTAACAGCTGAGTTTTCCTTCGCTTAGACTCGCTATAACCAATGGCTAAGAGTCCAGTCTACCCGGTTACTTAACTAATAGCTTAGTTTTCGACTGGTTACCACCCAAGTCTAATGAGCTCAGCGTACTCGGTTATTTAACCGATGGCTTAGTTTTCGACTGGTTACCACCCAAAGCTAATGAGCCCAGTGTACTCGGTTATTTAACCGATAGCTGTTCGGGAAAAGAGATTGATTTATGTCTTCTCTAAGAACATTTGTGCTAAAGGGTATTCGACTCGCTAATCCCACTTTTCCGCGCCCGTATCTCTTATATTACGAGCAGACCCATTTGAATATTAATATTGGAATAATTACCTTACTAACATTTTCAGTCTATATTTTTCAAATAATTCATAGTTTGCACGTACCTGACATGAACAACGCTAGTTTCGCACATTTGACGGCGCAGAAAATCAAACTTAACAAATCATAAATATTCCTGAGACTTGTACATATTTTCCGCTTGACAGACAACCAGATTTTAACGCACTCGATTCATCCTTAATTAACAGAACAATACATCTCTAGGATTGTTTGCGAAAAAAAAAGCACTCTCTATCGTTTGGCACCCGAGATAACATGATACAGACGTCAGGTAAGTTACTTCCCAAAACGCATGCAGGGTGAAGACGCGAAGAAAAAGAAAAAGAAAAAGAAAAAAAAACTTATTGTCAGCTTGCAATGTTGATGAAAGCTACTACAATGTTAAACAAAGAATCCCAAGAGTTTCAAAGAGCAAAGAGACAAGGAACATAGTGGGGTTTCTTAATGACGGGTAAGTGAAAAACTATCCTACCCTGTCGGCTTTGTACATTCAGCAGAACAATTTCGAAGTCGAGAGACGAAAGAAGCATTTTTTTTTTTTTCAGACTGCGCCAGAATTTTCAGGCACAGTATCTTCTTCTTGTGCTTTTTCTTCTTCTTGAGTACACCGATTCCCGTAGGATCACCGAATTTAAGCAACGTCGAGCCTGGTCAGTAGCTAGAAGGGTAACCGCTTGCGCCGTAAGCTAAGATGTGCGGGTGATGTAATTGAAAAGAGCTCGGAATTGTTAATCAGAGAGCCGAGTTCGACTTCCATTTCAGTTCGTTATATTCATTTACGCACAAATACCCTAGGAAAAGTATTTATCCACGCCTTCTGTCCCCAGCTATGGATTAATTGGGAAGACTTGTCTCAATAAATCATTATTATCTTAAACAAAATTCTATCTAAAAGTATTTTCTGGCTTTAATTGACCTACAAATGGTTGATAAGTCGTAAAAATCGAATCAATCAATCTTCTTCTTCTTCTTTTTTTATGACATGGTGATCATGGCTCACCACTCCCTAAATCTTTTATGCCACTAAGTAAAATATGTACCCTCACTATTCATCCAATTCCCTGTTGTACCATTCATTTACACAATTTCTCTGATTACCCCTTCGCTTAAAAATCGGTGAGCCGTATCCGAATTCCTGTGGAGCTGGTTACATTCAATTACGCGCAAAATACCCCTGAGAAAGCTATAAATCCATATCTTTCCCTGACTTTGGGTTAAATAGTAGGACTATATATAAAAAAAATTCACTTCCATTACAAAAGGTTTTAATGTCATATTCACTCGCAAAATATATACTTAACATTCAAAGATATGTTTTAGCTTTAAATAACTCCAAAAAGGTTGATAACACCCCCCACAAAAAAACAATCAAATTCACCTTCTTTCTTGCTTCCAATATGTCCTGTGAGTGTCCGATTCTCCAAACCCTCTTTATTATGTCCCAGAAAATTTAACTCTTTCTGTTTCTAAATGAAAGTGTCTTTTTTGTTTCCATTTTCATTAAAACTTCTTCCTTGTTTACATTTTTCGTCAATGTAAGTCTCAGTATCCTTCTGTATAACCATATCTCTGTTGCTTCTAGTCTCTTCTTCATCTGTGAGGAAATTGTCAAACATTCACGGTCACATTGGAGGATTGATATTGCATTGCGCTTCAGCGCAAGTTTCCTTGTTCCTAAATATTTTTCTGTTTCTTAGTACTGTGTACAGATTCTGAAAGGCGAAGTTGTCTTTCAGAATCTAATTCGATTAATTCTTCGGATTTCTGTGTCATATTTCCCTTCTCCCGTTCAAAATCCTCCCAGATAGTTAGATTTATAAACTTGATTGACTCTGACAGTTTATTAACAAACATACAGTCTGTCTTTCTACTTGTTTTCTTTACTACCTTGTCTAGGAATTCCTGCCATTGTTTCTGTGTTTGACACCAATACAAGTGTCCTATCCATATCTTATGCTGTTAAGATTGTATCCACCTAAAGATAAATCCTACGTCACTGCATACATTGAGTAAACCCGGTCAGAAGAAGCCTCGTATTCTTTCGCGACTTCCTATTTTATTTGTCCATATGCCAGCACTTTGCTCCGGATTATTCTATTCTATCGAGTATTCTGAGTCGTTTGGTTTGTTTTACGGCATATCAACACCTAAATGGGTTATTAAATACCGACAAGATTTTGAGGACAGTCTTTGTAATAAAGTTTGTAAGAGATCAGATTTTATTGACGTATTTTGTAAAGAGGGGTTTTGCCCGGAGTCAAATGTATTGCTGTTACTACAAGGTAACCCAAAAAGTTTAAAGGAAAAAAAGAAAACGCTTCACAGTATGTGTAACTTATATTTAGTCTTCGAAGTAATCGCCATCGGCATCCAGCACCTTCTGCCAACGTGTCTCCAGCTGTTTAATGCCCTTGCGGTAGAACGGGGGGGGGTTGACGCAAAGAAGCCCGTGAGGGCTTTGCGCAATCTGCTTCATTGGTGAAGGATTTCCCACGAAGATGATTATCCAGGGAGTGGAAGAGGTGGTAATCGGATGGCGCAAGGTCAGGGGAATAAGGTAGATGGCACAAAGTCTCCCACCCAAGTTGCTGTATGGTATCCCTAACCACTCGCGCGACATGCAGCCTGGCGTTGTCATGGAGGAAAAGCACACCTTTGCGATTCAATTGCAATTTCACAGATGAAGAAAAGACTTGAAACAATAGAAATAAAGTTCTGCAGGAAGATACTGAGGATACTATGGACGGAATATGTGAGCAACGACGAAGTTTTAGAGAAAATGGAAATAAAAAGACCAATACTTAACATCAGAAAGAAACAGATGATACTGATTTAAATATATATATATATATATATATATATATATATATATATATATATATATATATATATATATATATATATATATATATATATATATATATATAAATTCTCCGATTTAACCAGTAGAGAAGACAATATTAATGAATAAAAATGACAGTAGGAAAACTAGTAATTACTGACGCGTTTCGCCCAATGTGGACTTTATCAAAGCAAAATACGAAATGAATTTAATTGAAACGAGGTAACTAATAAAAAAACAAAATAGAATGTTCCTAGCAACTGGAATGTATTTTCAGTTAACAATATGAAAATAGCGTTTCTCTATATTCCAGTTGCTAGGAACATATATATCACAAATCCGGTTTAGGAATTACATGCCACCCCTGGTGTCTATAAGTTAGACAATAGCTTGACTCCGTAGTTCGGCCTAATGGTTTTTCATTGTATGAAACTCTGAGTAAAAAATATTATAATTAGACTTTGTCGACTTTAACACTGAGCCCTTAGTTTATTTTATATTTTAAGCTTTTATTCATACTATATATATATATATATATATATATATATATGTGTGTGTGTGTGTGTGTGTGTGTGTGTGTGTGTGTGAGACAAATTGGAAAAGGTTTTTGAAACACATTATATCTGTTAGATTTTCTTCGGATAAAACGTGCCAGAAAAACTTTTTTTTCCAATTTGTTACACATCTTTTCTTTCAAAATTGTTCTTGAAAAAAAAATAATGAAGTAGTTATGACGGTGAATGCCGAAAAATCTTTTCACAGATAAAGAAGAGACTTGAGAGAGCAGAAATGTGATTCTGCAGAAGGATGCTGAGCATATCATGCAATGAACATGTGAGCAACGAGCAAGTTGAAGGAAAATAGAAAGAAATCTTATCCTTACAGTCAGAAAGAGACAGCTGAAATTTCCTGGAACCATAATGAGGAAAGAAGGTTTGGAGAATTAGATATTTAATGAATATATTGATGGTAAGACGGACTGAGTGAAACGGCGAGTGATCCAAGAATCTTGTACAAAGGAATGGCAGAAGAACGACTTGGAGGATGGCTAAACGACAAGCCTAAGTTAGAGCTACAAAGGATAGAAAGTTATAGAAAAAGATGATCACCCACTTCCTGAAGGAGCACGGTAAATAGAAGAAGAAGAAAAAAAGAGAAGGAAAAAGAGAAGAAAAGAAGAAGAAAAAAGAGAAGAAAAGAAGAAAAAAGAGAAGAAAAGAAGAAGAAAAAAGAGAAGAAAAGGAAAAGAAAATAGAGAAGAAAAGAAGAAGAAAAAAGAGAAGAAAAAAGAGAAGAAAAGAAGAAGAAAAAAGAGAAGAAAAGAAGAAGAAAAAAGAGAAGAAAAGGAGAAGAAAAAAGAGAAGAAAAAAGAGAAGAAAAGAAGAAGAAAAAAGAGAAGAAAAAAAGAAGGAAAAAAGAGAAGAAAAGGAAAAGAAAAGAAGAAGAAAAAAGAGAAGAAAAAAGAGAAGAAAAAAGAAGAAAAGAAGAAGAAAAAAGAGAAGAAAAGAAGAAGAAAAAAGATAAGAAAAGGAAAAGAAAAGAAGAAGAAAAAAGAGAAGAAAAGGAAAAGAAAAGAAGAAGAAAAAAGAGAAGAAAAGAAGAAGTAAAAAGAGAAGAAAAGAAGAAAAAAGAGAAGAAAAGAAAAAGAAAATAGAGAAGAAAAGAAGAAAAAAAAGAGAAGAAAAAAGAGAAGAAAAGAAGAAGAAAAAAGAGAAGAAAAAAGAGAAGAAAAGAAGAAGAAAAAAGAGAAGAAAAGGAAAAGAAAATAGAGAAGAAAAGAAGAAGAAAAAAGAGAAGAAAAAAGAGAAGAAAAGAAGAAGAAAAAAGAGAAGAAAAGAAGAAGAAAAAGAGAAGAAAAGGAGAAGAAAAAAGAGAAGAAAAAAGAGAAGAAAAGAAGAAGAAAAAAGAGAAGAAAAGGAGAAGAAAAAAGAGAAGAAAAGGAAAAGAAAAGAAGAAAAAGAAAGAGAAGAGAAGAAGAAAAAAGAGAAGAAAAGGAGAAGAAAAAAGAGAAGAAAAAAGAGAAGAAAAGAAGAAAAAAGAGAAGAAAAGGAAAAGAAAAGAAGAAAAAAGAGAAGAAAAAAGAGAAGAAAAAAGAAGAAAAGAAGAAGGAAAAAGAGAAGAAAAGGAAAAGAAAAGAAGAAGAAAAAAGAGAAGAAAAAAGAGAAGAAAAGAAGAAGAAAAAAGAGAAGAAAAAAGAGAAGAAAAGATGAAGAAAAAAGAGAAGAAAAGAAGAAGAAAAAGGAGAAGAAAAAAGAGAAGAAAAGAAGAAGAAAAAAGAGAAGAAAAGGAGAAGAAAAAAGAGAAGAAAAGAAGAAGAAAAAAGAGAAGAAAAGGAAAAGAAAATAGAGAAGAAAAAAGAGAAGAAAAAAGAGAAGAAAAAAGAGAAGAAAAGAAGAAGAAAAAAGAGAAAAAAAGGAAAAGAAAAGAAGAAGAAAAAAGAGAAGAAAAAAGAGAAGAAAAAAGAAGAAAAGAAGAAGAAAAAAGAGAAGAAAAGAAGAAGAAAAAAGAGAAGAAAAGGAGAAGAAAAAAGAGAAGAAAAAGGAGAAGAAAAAAGAGAAGAAAAGAAGAAAAAGAGGAAAAAAGAGAAGGAAAGAAAAAGAAAAAGCGAAGAGAAGAAGAAAGAAAGAGAAGAAAAGAAAAAAAAGAGAAGAGAAGAAGAAAGAAAGAGAAGAAAAGAAAAAAAAAGCGAAGAGAAGAAAAAGAAAAAAGAAGAAAAAAAAAGAGAAGAAAAGAAGAAGAAAAAAGAGAAGAAAAGAAGAAGAAAAAAGAAGGAAAGAAGAAGTAAAAGAAAGAGGAGAAAAAGAAGAAATAAAGGAAAAATAGGAAGAAAAAGAAGAAAAAGGAAAAGAAAAAGAAAAAGAAATGCTAGAAGAAAACAAAGAAAAAAGAAAAAGGTAAAGAAGAAGGAGGAACAAAGAAAACAAGAAAAGAAGTAAAAAAAAGATGAAAAAGACCAATAAGAAGAAAAAGAAGATATAATTAACGGAAAAATAAACATAAAACCTCTACTTTAAAAAACGAATATTTTCAATTTCACACATTTTTTTCGTACAACATTTTCCCGCTGTTTAGCGTTAATAAAGCCCTTTCCAAAGAAGCCAACATTTTTCTGTTGTTTGATGCCGACACAGGATCTCTTTTCTTTACATCACCTCCCCATCAGATTCCCGAGACGATGCTTCCACGATCACTACGATCTTAACCCTCTTCAAGACTAGGGTCAACTGTTATCTCTCCTATATATTCGCATGAGAGGTACATCTTACTTCCTCCACTTACGCCCTTGTGGCAACCTCATTCAGAAACCCTGTAACTTGAGTGGATCTTGGGACTTAGGTTTGGTGAACAATAGTCTAAAAAAAGAAAAACATGGTCAGAGACATGCATTGGTGCCTGAAGTAATGGCTACTGAAACGCAACTATTTCCAGATAATCCCGAATAACACTTTCGTTCTGCATTGTATCTGAGATATTTAGAAAATAAAATAGCCATATGTTAGGGTCTTCCATTTTTGGATGACGAAAAAATATCCAAATTAGATGCACGCGGACCTACAGCAGTTTATACATCTGTATCCCATCAGGATAAAAAAGACGTGTTTATATAGCAACCTGCTTACCTTGAGTCTCTCATTGCAATATTTAGTCAAATGACATTCTAGTCTCATACGAAATGCAATTTGTTTTTTTTTTTTGTTTTTTTTTGTTTTTTGTCCAGATAAAGAAGTTCATTTGCACAAATTCGCATAAACATTGATCCCATGCCTTCGATGTATTATACGGAAAGCAACTGGCGTGTTGTTTTTAGAGTATACACATTTGTATACACAATATACGCTTTTCTCACACATTTACATGGGTGAACGGGACAAACAGTTTTGTCCTATTTATCCGAATATATATATATATATATATATATATGTGTGTGTGTGTGTGTGTGTGTGTGTGTGTGTGTGTGTGTGTGTGTGTGTGTGTGAGAGAGAGAGAGAGAGAGAGTGTGTTTATGCATATGTATGTATGTTTCTGGATATAAATATATATTAATAATTACAGATAACTGTGTTTACAGTATGATTCAGAGTTTCATGGTTTAGCAATTCATCAGCTACAAATGTTATGAACTGTTCAATACTGTTGTTAGCCCTTTTTAACACCATTAAGCACTGTTTTGTTTACACCATTGATTAAATGAATAGTTATTTGCTCATCTGTATGTGTACGTAATCGCTTACATATATGGTGTTCCATATCCCTTTATTTAGTTCACTTCTCCATCTATATCTCTCCTGCTTTTTCTATCTATCTATCTATCTATCTATCTATCTATCTATCATAACTGCATTCTTTTGTTCGTAAATATGGTCAAACCTATTACGATGAACGACTAAATATGTTGACCGTATTCTTACTTTATGTTTACACAATGAAGGATTTAAATAAAAGAAAATAAAAAGAATCTTTTACAAAACGTTATTCTTTTAGGCATGTTGCACTAACTAGCTAAGAAAGAATCCGAAGCTGCAACTGAGTTCCTAGGAATAATTTATACTAGAATTATTTTGCAACATGTTATCGTCTTTTATGAAGATGTAATAATACTCATAATAATTAAAATAACTAAAGTGTAAAAATTTCAGAGATATGTCAAAATGTCATACAAAAAGGGATAAACAAATATAAAACGAAATGGCAGATTCTAGGGAAAAGCCACCATAAATAAAGTCTTAAATGAGATTTAAAAAGAGAATTTGAAACCAGCTAATGTCGTTTTAAGTAAATTTAAACTATTCCAGTTGATATCCTTTGAAAAGCGATAAAGTCCTTGCAACAGGTTATCGTCAGTCAACTGAAAGATGCCAACTCATCTCCACAAATCTATATTTTCCCTAAAAAGATTTGTGAAACGACTAGAGATCAAGGCTCATCGACAAATGAAACTACATGCCAGTTTCTCTGGGTTAATACTCATGTATTCCGTTTTTTTTCAAGAATTTTTTGCAACACGCATGAGCATGTTAAAATCCTCACAGCATTTAGTATTGTTGAAGTTTTCACTAACATCTTAGTCGAGATTTACAAACTCTACGTTTCGTTTAATTTGGCATACCAATCGATGAAATATAAAAACTTAAATTAAATATATGACAAAAAAATTACATTTTTATTGAATAAATATTTATTTTAATCATTTTTTTAAATAGTGGTAGTATTTTATATGTTAAATAATAAAATTTCCAAAAATATTAATAAAAATTTATTGTACTAACTTTTTATATTTCTGAGATGGGGTATTAGGTACACTATTTACATTATTCGGACTATTGTCCTCATCTTTGTCGCCATATTTATTACAACGTTTCGGCAGTTGTTCGACATTCCAACCACCCGAAGAAGGCCGGAGCGTACAACGGCCGAAACGTTGTAATAAATATGGCGACAACGATGAGGACAATAGTCCGAAATATGTAAATAGTGTTATTGTACTAAGTTACGCACTCAAGTAAAATCGATTGTATTTTGTACCCCTTTACCTGTTCGCGATTCTCCCCCAAATTTGGTTTCGATCAGTCGATGTACGGCTATTTTAGAGGGTGAATACACGGGACAAACCGTTATAATGAAACAATATTAGATTATTTTTTTAATCTACTTTCTTTCTTTGGGTAAAAAAAAAATACCGAACCCTTTTATATTTCCTGTTTTTTTTTTCGCCCCCATGATCATTTTGGGGGGGTCAAGAATTCTTTGCACACAGAGCCACTAGTATATTCGGCATTTTAGCCTGATATAGTTTCTCTCTTGACCCGGACTCTCTTCCACATAAACTACATGTCAGTTTGGTTACTTGAAGTTTCATCCCTACTCACAACCACCAGGCAAAACAACGTTTCTTGCTGGTAGCGAATCTCTTTAACTACGTTCTTTATTCGCTTGTAGCTTTATTAGTGGCTGCTCCAGGATGCAGACTTGTACCAAATTCTGTCCTTTCTTCCTCTTATACCTGACATTGCCGTTGGCGCTGCATGTTTGTTTGTTTGTCCATCAGTTTCGATATTTGTCTGGCGTTTCTAAAAATATGTGACAAATCTGTCGCTTTCAAACCTGATATGGAGCTGGTTTTTAAGGCACAATGGCAAGGCAGAGATGTTTACTTAATGTTTATTAATGTCTATTGGTATCACTTGTCATTAGTATTAATGCTATGAACTCATTGTTTGTCAATAAACAACCGGTGGACTGCTCGAGGGTACCATTGCTTTCATCGGCACTCAACGGTAAAACTAAAAGAACAAACGTAGTTAAGATCATGAAATATGTTCTATGGTTTTACATGTTTTTCATTTACAACAGTTGAAAAAAATAAAAATAATCCTGAAAATTTTGCAATAATGGATTGAAAACGTTTTTTACAGAAAAAAAAATGGATAATTCTTTTTTTATCGCTTCATGTTAGTAAAAACAAAAAGTAAAAAAAAATACTATAGCTATTTAAACAATGATAAAAAAAAATACTATGGCTATTTAAAACAAATAGTAAAAAATAATACTGTGGCTATTTGAATCCAAATTTGGCCGATGTAATTAAATGTCAGCATTATTTTTTCCTATCAACTTTTCTATCCAAGTTACCAATGTATCATTTTACTTCCAATAATGTAAATGTTTTGTTGTAAATCATAGAAGAAAACAAATTAATTCTATTCTAATTACCTCCGGTGATATCAGAGGTCGAATTTAACCTAATCTCCTCGACCATTTCTGTTGCATAAACATCTCCTTCCATCTTACAGGAAATTACACAAATCTCTAATCATGTTATTAATAAAAATAACAAACATGTCAGTTATGTGCCATGTGTGATACATGCATAGGTGATAACTTTACTTTCGATATATGAGTGACGAGGTAGATTTTTTCCCGCAGTAGGTTGCCATTTCATTCTGCGGTATATCAGCTACCATTCAATGATATAGAACCCGGTCTGTTCTGCTATTTACCCATAATACCAAGTGTATTAGCACGCAAGTGAACATAATGGATTTGACTGAAATTCGAACTCGGCTCTTCGATTCCTCAATCCAAGCCGCTATCCATTACTCCACCGTGCCTCTGCTACATATTACAAAATAGAAATAAACCCTGGCGATAGTTAACTAAAAGTATTTAGAATTTGGTTAATTTATATCTAAATACGTTCCCGCAGCCAAAAAAATCCGAAATGTCGAAAAATTTTAAAAACTTAAAAAAGAATTTATTATCTAATCTTGTATTATCAGGAGACACAATAAAGAAAAAAACAATGCGCAATATTTTCAAAATATAGATGTTTATTTATTTACAATCATTTAATTTATCTTGGTTGGTTCTTTTTATTTAGTGACATATCAATCTCTATCGATTATTTAATACGGAAATCTAAATACAGTGTTGGTGCATAATTATCAGGCAAAAGCCTGATTATTATGCACCAACACTGTAACAACAATAGTTATTGTAACAACAATAGTTATTATGAAAAAAGAAACATAACAATTTAACAATAACATTTTTAAATGATTATTCCAGTGCGTATGATTATGATTACGTATTTTTATAACCTGAAAATTTATTTTCAGGTTATAAAAATGCGTGTCGATAATTATTAAATAAAAATGAACAAAACAGCAATTTTTATCAACAAATACCTTGCCTACAAAAACGCCTGATAATTATGCACCAAATTTATACCTTCGACTACAGAGATTTTCTACATATTTTTTTTAACTTTAGACGTATATTTTTTATATATATATTTTTAGGTAAAATTTATTGTTAGTAATTTTTTTAAGATATTGATGGTAATTTCACTACAAAATGTATTACTGGTAATTTTATTATAACAATGTACTGTTGATTTTTGTTTGGGTGTTTCACTATTTACCCATAGCTGAGACTCTAGCAGGTACTACCACACCGGATCAGGGTGGACCTGGGACCAACAGCAGTTAACAGGGGTTTCCACGATCCCCCAGTCGCCTGATAAGTGACCTTGCTGCCAGATATAGTTTATCGTCATACCGAGGATGGTACTTAATTCATAAATTTAATAAAGCTCTAAAATATTATTCACGCTAATACTTTATTAGGCATTACATTACATCTCTTAGCGTCTTCTATACTTCAACTTTACTTATATAGCCATAAGAATATTTTAGATCCTTTTTTTTTTAAATTTAAAAAGCATTGAAAACTTGATATTTTTATTTCTGTCTTTAAATAAATGTTGCAAAATAAAATCCTTACTTTTAGCTTGATGAAGTCCCACGGTGGATAAAACGCGTCGGTAAAAAATTTTTCACTTGCATTTGTTTAAACTGTCTTTTTACATATGTACAGGGTGTCCCCCACAAAAAAAATTTACCATCATTTCGCAGGCAAACAATTTTGGCAATTCTTGTCGAAATAAACTCAACATTTCACAGAATGGATAGAAACAGATCAAAATTTTATATTTAATGGAAGCGGACAGTACGTTCTTATCTCAATGTGAATCTGCCAGAGATATGGATCGGGCGTGGTGTAGATGAAGACAGTTTTCTGATGAAATGGCCGCCGTGGCCACCAAACCTGTCCCCGTGTGATTTCTTTTTAAGGCGATGTGTGAAGTGACCCGTCTATGCACCCCCCGCCGCCGCCTCTTCTTGCTAACATTGATTATTTTTATTACATTTACAGGTGTTTATGTGTGCATTCGTAGTTTGTCATGTATTTATCCTGCCGCCGCTATATGCTATCCATATATATATATAAACATATATATAAACATATATATAAACATTATATATATAAACATATATATATAAACATATATATAAACATTATATATAAATTATATATATAAACATATATATAAACATATATATAAACATATATAAAATATATATATAAATATATATATAAACATTATATATTTATATATATAAACATATATATAAACATATATATAAATATATAATAAACATATATATAAATCAATATATAAACATATATATAAACATATATATATATATAAACATATATATAAACATATATATAAAACATATATATAAATATATATAAACATATATATAAAACATATATATAAAATATATATATAAATATATATATAAACATATATATAAACATAAATATATATATAAACATATATATAAATATATATATAAACATATATATAAATATATATATAAACATATATATAAACATTATATATAAACATATATATAAATATATATAAATATATATATATATATAAAAATATATATATAAACATATATATAAACATATATATATATATATATAAACATATATATATATATATATATATATATATATATATAAACATATATATAAACATATATATATATAAACATATATATATATATAAATAAATATAAATATATATAAACATATATATATATAAAATATATATATAAAATATATATATAAAATATATATATAAATAAAATATATATATAAAATATATATAAACATATATATAAACATATATATAAACATATATATAAACATATATATATATATATATATATAAATAAATATATAAATATATATATATATATATATAAACATATATATATATATATATAAACATATATATAAACATATATATAAACATATATATATATATAAACATTATATATAAAAACATATATATAAAATATATATATAAAATATATATAAATATATATTATATATATAAAACAATATATAAAATATATATAAACATATATAAAACATATATATAAATATATATATAAATATATATATAAATATATATATAAATATATATATAATATATATATATATAAAATATATATATATAAACATATATATAAACATATATATATATAAATATATATATAAAACATATATATATAAACATATATATAATATATATATATAAACATATATATATATAAAACATATATATAACATATATATAAACATATATATAAATATATATATAAACATATATATAAACATATATATATATATATAAACATATATATAAACATATATATAACATATATATATATATATAAACATATATATAAAATATATATATATATAAACATATATATAAATATATATATAAACATATATATAAACATTATATATAAACATATATATAAACATATATATAAACATATATATAAACATATATATAAACATATATATAAACATATATATAAACATATATATAAACATATATATAAACATATATATAAACATATATATAAACAGTAGAGTCAGAACATAACTCACATGGCTTGAAAATTGTTTTCAATCATGAAACCGACTGTCGCCACTCGGTGTTAATCTCTGTTTCCAGTATTATACTTGGTTGATTGATATTTTTATCACGGCTTATCAGTCTTTTGCAGGTTAATTAAAGCCAGAAAATATGATAAATTTTAAGCGATAATTTTGGAGATAATAATGATTTATCCACACAAGTCCCTACTAATTAAAGTGGGGGGGAGAGAAGAGGTTGATTCGAACCTTTCCCAAGGGTTTTTTGGCGCAGAAGGTAATATAACGAGCGGGACTGAAATTGGAACGCTGCTTCCGTAGTTCCGGTTCCGAGCTATTATCCATTACACCACCCACACATCCAACCTTACAGCAACTGGTATTCCCATTATGTCACACATCTACGTACTGACAAGGCTCAACGTTGCTTAACTTCGGTGATCGTACAAGAGCCAGTGTTTCAACCTAACATGGCCGTAAGCCATTTACACACACACACACACACACACACACACACACACACACACACACACACACACATATATATATATATATATATATATATACTGAGTACGTAGGTGTTTTCCTTTAATTCTTTTTCTTTTTTTCGTTTTGCTGTCCTTTGAGAGTTTAAGGGTATTCAGGCATTTTTGGCAAATTGTCCTTGTGTTCCACCAACACTTCTGTTTTTTTTCTTTAATATATATATATATATATATATATATATATATATATATATATATGTATGTATGTATGTGTGGGGGGGTGCGCGCGCGTATGCAGATCCATGGGACAGATAATTCGATAGAATAAACAAAAATTGGGCAAACTCTGTACAGGCTACAACTAAATCGAAAATACTTTTTAAATTTCTTTTGCTTTAATTCCCATAACCAAAATTGTAGTGATATTTGATGTGGAACAAGGCCGAATGTTTGGGGCACCCAGTGAGGATCGAACTCACTAATCAGTTGTAACTGCTCTAGCAAGTCAATTCAAGCTTGCTAAGCATTACACCATGTTGGAATTCCCAGATGGTTTTCTATGTGTAGCTCAGATGTGGCACAAAGCTGAAAGTGTAGGGCATTCATTGAGGATCGAACTCACTATTCAGTTGTAATTGCTTTAACGTGAAAAGTTTGCTAACCATTATGTCACGTAGAAATGCCCTAATGATTTTCTAATCGTAGCTTAGATATGACACAAGGCCTAAATTGTAGGGCACTCAGTGAGGATCGAAAAATACTAATTAGGTTAATTGATCTACCGACACAGGCTTACTATTAGACAACGTTTAAGTGCCCATATTGTAATGATATACGTTTAATAATGCACAATTTACAATGACACAACCAATATCCTTAGAAATGTTATTAGATCAACCGAAAAGGCTAGGAACAAATGAAAAGAAAATGAAATATCTTCTTCATGCACAATACAATAAAAAAAAGCTCATTTTTCAAGAACAATACAATAAAAATCTCTTTTTCAAGAACAATACAATAAAAAAATCGTTACACAAACTTGTCAGACGTTTTAAAGAAAGACACACAGACATACTTATGTTTATCTCATTTACAAAGCTTTGAAAATTTACAAGATAGGAAAATAGACTACACATGGATTTATTAAAAGTAACATTGGTTGACAAGTCTAGAATTCGATCGTGCATTGAATATTGTTGCCACATCTAGTATGCTGCTTCTGGTATATATCTAGAGATTCTTGATGAAATCCGAAGAAGAATCTGCAACTTTACCGGTTCTAACCTGGCATCTCGGTTCCAATCACTTTCCCACCGTTGTAACGTGCCCCACCCTTTTCTATGAAGATTTTCTTGGTAACTGTTCTGATGAGCTTTCCTCTTTTATACAACGACTTCATGATTTCAAGTGCAGTACTAGATTGGCAGCTGGGTCTCATCATTAGACCACTGAAATTGCTAGAGGTGACTGTAGGTTCTAATTCATAGTTTCCTCCTTTGCACTTCTTGCCTGTGGAACTCTCTTCCAGCTTCTTGTCAATTGCAATCTTCAAAGATTTAAATACAACATTAATCATCTTCTGTTTCCTTGAATCCTGTACTTTTTACTGTCTTTTCTCCTCAATTACATTTTCTCACTTTCCTCCACTCTTAATTTGTCCCCCAGCGCCTTAGGGGCTTTATCACCTTGTTTGTAGTGAAATGATTACAAAATTGTCAAGGGACAAAGAAATATTTGACGACAAAGTAGCTACTCGCCACGAGAATGTAAAATGAATAGTGTGATGAAATCTGGAATAGCGTTCAATACCACGCCCAAAACGTTCTCTTCTGGTTGAAGAGTTCATTTCTGTTGATGACGATTCGCTGAAAACTGGACAGAACAAAATGTTAGTGTGTAATGCTATCATGATCAATTGCTTCTTTTAAATGGCACGTTGAAAAAAACAAAGATATTTTTAGATATTTTAAAAGGGTTATGAGATTTAAACAGACTTATTAAAACAACAGGAAATAATCTGTTGTTACATTTTATTGTTGGTTTAATATGCCTGCATGAAACACAATTAATAATTATATTTTTTCTAGTCATGGAAATTGACCTGAGCTAAAAAAAAAAAAATGCTGACGACGACTGTCTTTACGTTGTAATTGTAGTTATTCATATTATCATAGCGGTCAAATAGATTTGATTCATTTGTCTTTTACGGTCTATCTACCTTCTGTAGGTATATTTAAAGCCATCAAATATTTTTGGATTGTAAGTAAGATTTTGGAGATAATAATTATTTAGTGATACAAGGCTTACTAATTAACCCATAAGTGGGGGGAGAATACGTGGATTCATGGCTTTCCCAAAGATAACGAACACAAATGAAATTGGAACTCGGCTCTTCGATTAACATTCATTACACCACACACACATCCTATTCCCAAACACCTGCTATTCCTAAACAGTCACTCATCTAGATACTGGCCTAGCCCTCCACAGCTTAACTTCAGTGTTAGTACAGGAACCGATGCTTAAACATCATATGGCCTTAAGTCCCGGTAAAATGGAAATTTTTACTCTATATAACAGAGTCACCCTAATTTTTGGTTAAAGAATTTCTATTCTTTCGTTTTATTTTTTGGTGGATGCTGGTTACAATTTGGAGACATTGAAAGATGTCCATAAAGCAATCGCCGAATCAAAATGGTAAGTAGTCTTTTGTGGTGAAATACATAATTTTTTCTCTTGATGATTGAAGAAGAGCGCCAATGATTTCATCTGAAAAGATTTTCTCACACACTTTTGGAATTTTTATATC